GAAATTATTATTCAAAAAAACAGGAGCACACCTGTAATCCTAGTATTTGGAAGCTGAGGCGGGAGAATCTGGAGTTCAAGGACACCTTCAGCTAAATGGGAAGCTGAGACAGACATGGCTGCATGGGACCATCATGCTCAAAGGAGGCACACCAGTCCACAGCACTTACTGCTCCGACAGAGGACTCAGGCTTGGTTCCCCAGCTCACATGGTGGTTCGTAACTGTCCGTAACTCCAGTTTTAGGGGATCTGATGTCCTCTTCTGCGTGTCTGCGGGCACCAGACCCACCGCACGTGGTACACTTGTAGGCAACACACTCATACACGTAAAAATAACACAGAAGGATCTTTAAAAGCCAGACAAATCCATTGACAATATCACCCGCGAGTCTAAAGCAAAACAATCCTCTTAAAAAGTCCTCGTTCCCTCTCTGCCTTCTATAGGTGGCCTCTGCTATAGCTCTGTCGTGTCATAGGAAGGCAAGGGTCTACAGGAGCTGGGCCCACTGCCCCTTCCCCGGTGGCCTCTAGGTAACTGAGTAGAATTATCCATCAGAGACCCACCATGATGGTTCAATAGGTTGAAGGGTTTCCTGATAACCTAATGGCCTGAGTTTGATGTCAGAAACCTACATGGTAGGAGGAGAGAATCGACTCTCCAAGTTGTCATCTTAGCGCCACACGTGCTCTATGGCATAGCTGCACTCCCCCATGTACACACACACACACACACACACACACACACACACACACACACACACAACTTTAAAGAGAATGGAATCCATAGACAAGAACCAGTGAACCAGAGGGAGTCATACATGTGTAAGTTCCCACGCATGTGTAGGCAGCACAGACGTTGCTAGAGATCAAGGCAAGCCACATGATATCACTGGGAGGGTCACATGTTGGGCTGCATTTAGTGTGTATGTGACTTGGAAAAGCCCATAAGGATTGCACACATTCTTGGGCTATTTTTAAGTTTGGAATCTCAGAGTTCTACTCTATTTGTTCTGTGAATGGATCCATATTGACCACTGGATTACGGTTCCCATCCTAGTACCAGCAGGCTGTGGCGGGGACGTTTCCTGCCCTGTCCCCTGCTCCCTGGGGATCCCTGTCATGTCTTGAGTGGAAGGGAGAGGTCCACAGTGAGGGTAGAAAGGTGAACCCAGATGATGGAGCCACACCAGGCCCGGATGGGAACCTTCCAAATGGAGCCAAAGCAAAGGGGGACAGAACCCTTCCTTATCTAAGGCCAGGGTCAACACCCACAGAGGGGCAGGGAAGCCATGCTTCAATCCCAAACTGTCACATACAAAGATCAATTCTCTCTTCAAAGGGATTACTCACTACACGTCGTCACAGCACATCGGGGCTGAGCACTATTCAAATTTATTAAGCAATGACATGCAAAATGTATGCTATCAAAGGCTGGTTTCATCACTCCATCCTCCAAGCTGTTTTCCTTCTCTTTTCTTCTGTTTTCTTTTTGCTTAGTCATGAGAAGTCTAGCAAGTTAAAAAATCAAAACAAAAGCTAACAGAGAGAGGGAGAGAGCGAGAGCGTGCCCTTCGTGGAAGTTGCTATGTGGTGGCTTCAGAAAGGAAAACACATCTCTGACTAATATGAAGGAGACTCCAAATTGCTCTTGGCAACAATCTCTCAACCCAATTCCCCTCCCTCTATTCATCTCCTCAGTTCCCAGCCAAAGGAAAACAAACTGAACAGCCCTCTCCCTGGCCCAACCTGTGGGGCTGCACGGCTGAGCAGGGCTGAGCCAACAAACATCCCCGTGCAATTATACACCTGTGTAATTGCTGTAAACACAGGACAGCCAGCCGGGTGCAAGCCTGGCTCACTGAGCCAACCATCTAGGTATTAGGAAGAAAATGCCTATATTCTGACAGTGGGCTATCAAAACATTATGCAATCTGATCCAGTAACCTCAAGCTCAGATATTTTTCCCCCCTTTAGGAAAAAGAAGAAAGAAAAAGCAACTATCATTCTGGCCAAAGTGCCGTGAATTCCACAGAGGCAAGATCCCTGAGCATTGTTCAGCCAAGCAGGAGCTATGATATCTATCTTCTTGTGGTCCTCCCAGAAGTGACAGTAAATGTTAGAGGTCATTATCATGCCATTTGAGATGGAAAGGAGAGTCAACAGACCAGCTCCCCAAACATGTATCGCTTCTGTGTCTTCCATGTGACATCATTCTATTAGGACCGATACGTCCGGTCAGCTAACAAAGAGGGTGGAACATCAGGAATACAGTTGATGTAGAGATCTTTTTAGTTGAGCCCATAAACTTCCACGGTAGGCTAGCGTAAGCTACTCTGAGGCAGGGACTAGATCCACTACCAAGTCCTGTGACGGTGGGCAAGCTTGTGCCTTACGGTGAGGTCAAAAGCTTTACACAGTCTGTGAGCCCTGACACTGTGGGGTATACCATTCCGGCTACTGCCAAATGTGACTGGTATGTCAGGAGTGTCCCTAGCCAACCTGGCATTGCCCCAGAGAGAGGCCGGTCCTCTCAGAAGTCGCACAGGGCTGCTTCTGCATCTGTAGGGGTCATGTGCCAAAAGTACGGGTTCATTTCAGAACCCGCAATGCTAACCCTGAAACCAGAATGACAGCAGGGGCTCGGTATTCTCCCTGGTCATTTAGCACAGTGACTGGTCATGCTGTGTGCAACTCTTTGGGCCAGAGACAAGTGCTTATGAGTGCAGCTCCTATTACCACCTTCCTCTCTGCCTTCTCCCATCCTTCCTCTTTACCCAATTCCCAGGGAGAGCTGGGCATCCCTGTTACTACTCCCACTGGCCGAGGTCAGGGCCTGGCTGATTTCATTTACTGGGGGATGTTCAGAATGTATCATAGTGCCCAGAACCATACAACACACAATACAATCACTATTGAATTGGTCTGACCAGAAAAGGATCCAGTTTAAAAAAAAAAAAATTAGTTCAGTCTGTAACATTTACACACTATTTTATATTATACCGTCATTGAAACAATCTCCTCAATTATGGCATGACTCTAAAACATTGAGGATACGACGGGTAGCTCTGAATTCAGGCTCACGGATGGCTTACTTGACCCACATGAGCCTTAGTTTCTTCATCTGCAAAGTGGGACTAATGATTGCAATCCAATGCCATGGGGGGTGGAGTACAAGAGAAAATGTGGACAAGTGTCCTCTGGCACACTGTGTCTCTGAACCCACCTCTTCCTTTGGCCTCCAATCTCTGCTTTATCTTCAACCCTGAACCCGACCAGGCAGGTCAAGGCTCCTGCTCAGCAACCTGCAGGCCTTTGCTTTCTAGGTCTTTCCTACAGTCCCTGCCCCCACGCCATCTGCTTTTTGAAGTCTTTCCTGAATTCCTCTGGCCTTAGTGAAGAGCCCTCCCTTCTCTGGGCTTCACTTAGAGCTCACAATTGTGCTCCCTGTCTACCACTTATACGGCCTCCATGGTGGGTGGGTGTCCACCGATGTTCTGAGTAAAGGGCCCGGTCTCCTCTGCTGTCTCCAGTGTGATTTGGAAGAATTCTTCCCTCCCAGTTTCTCACCTGCAGTATGGAATGGGCAGGGGTGCTGGTGGTTTTGGGGGAGCTTAGGGAACAGCACCATAGGGATGCCATACCCAGCCAGAGCTCTTTGGAAGAGTGGCTTTCTTTCCCCAATCAGACCACTGTGGGCTTTAAGGGGTCATGGTGGCAGGACCCAGGCTGCTTTTAATTCCTGAACTCCATCCAGAGGGGGCTCCTGAGGACTTACTCAGTGAAAACAGGGAGGAACTGAGTTAGAACTTGAACCTTTTCAAGTTCGCCCCTATCCCTCCCACATTCGCTCCTGTCCTCCCCACCCCCCCTCCCCGCCCCTTCCAAAAACCTATCTAATCTGCAGAAACTGCCTAAGTGCTTTGATCACTTCCTTTACATTTTAAAATTCCGCAGTTAAAGAGGTTGGAAGTGACATCGCCCTAGCCAGCAGCGGAACTGCACAGAGCCAGGACCAGCTGCTAAGCCAAGAGGGCAGCTGCCCCTTGCCTGTCTGTCCACCAGGCAGCCACGGGCCCTGCACTAGAAGCCAGGATGGGAGTCTGATGCCCAGGGATCCTCACACTACAGGACCGGCACTGAGAAGCTCCAAGCAGGGCTGGGCTGGGTGGTGAACTCTTCCTTCTATCCTGCCAAAGCCAAGTCCTGGGGACTCAGGCATTGCAAGGGCAACAGAGGCCAGGGAAGGCTGGGGGGGGGGCAACGATGACAAGGGACATTATGAGTAGGTTTCACTGCCCTTCCCATACCAGGTTGCCACACGGTCAGAGCTGCAAGACCCCAGCTTGACTCACTAGACCAGAGAGTTCTCACCGTCTGTCCACTCAGGATGGAGTTTTCCCACATGAGTTTTCCCACTCCTTCAGCTCCAGATTCAAGCTACAGGTCCCTGATAGTACTCCCTCCAGTACGCTTAAGGACATCTGTGGACCCCTCTTTATTTTTCTGCTCATGTCTAGGGACCAAGAGTTCTGCCAAATTGCCATCATTTTGTTTCTTAAAGTTTTGCATCTGATAGTTGGGCAGACCAACTTGCTTTTTTTTTTTTTTTTTAAACCCGGGACGCGGGGTATGCAGTTTAAACTGGTCATATTTGTCGGCAACCGCCTTTAGCCGTCTCAAAGGAGGCTGCCAGGAAGGGAGGCCGCGGGTGTTGCTGCAGAATTCCAGGTTCTATCCCAGGTTGGGCCCCCCTGCCCCTCCGCACCCTTATCCAGCAGAGCTAGGGTGAGTGAGAAACGACTCTGTCGCGGCGCCTGCCAGCGCCAGCAGGAGCTTGGTGCCCGGAGGCGCCACCCAGGCTACCGGGTCCCCGCCGAGCCAGGCTCCTGCCGAGCTCCCCAGGGCTTTCAGCCGGGCTCCGTCCCGCCTCCTCCCCGCGGTCCCTGCGCTCCGGGGCCACAATCACATCCCCATCCCGGCCTCGGCCTCCGCAGACCCACCTGGCCGCCCCGGGGACGTCGCGCTCGTGCCCGGGTCGTGTTCTGAGCTCCACCAGGGTCCGAGGCTGGGAGTCCACGCGGCAGCGCTGCTCCGGGAGCCTGCCGCTGCCGGGGAGAGGTTGTCATTGATTTGCGCTGGGCGAGTTAAGCCATTCCAGGAGTGGTTTGGAGCGAGCACTCACACCCCTCCCTCTAAGCAGAAGTATTTGGCAGCCAGCCCCTTTCGCGTCCACCTGTACTGTTAAACGTGGGACAAGGACCAATTGCTCCAGTGGCTTTTTCTGCATTTCTTTAGAATACGTAAATCAACCCTTTGGGGGAAGGTAACACAGAAATGAAAGTAAGGGCGGTGGATTTTTCTCCCACCCCCCACCAGGTCTCCCACCCCCCACCCCACCCCCATCTTTTCTCTAATATTTCACAAAAAGCTTCGCCACTTATCTCCAGGCAAGGGAGGCATTTTATTATTATTGTTTTATTCAATTCTCTGTGTCTGTGTTTTATTTTTAGAGGCAATTTTGTTTCCATTTGCCTGAAACCTGAGCCCAATAAAATTACTAGAATTATATGTTTTCTCCTTAAAGGGTCGTGATTGTAACTTAACCAAATCAAACACTGTACAGCAATCACTCAAACCCCCCCTACCAAAAAGGAGATGCCAGTGGTAAGTATGGAACTGAAGATCCGATGGGGGGGGTCATGAGGCCTAAGGAAGAGTCACTCCCTACCTCCCCGCCATCAGCAAAGACCCTGACTCAGTATCATCCCACTTGGGGTGGGCCAGCCACCATCACAGAGGTGTGGCCCAGCACCCTCTCCCCAGCCTGCCACACCACACCCTTTTTGTAAACTGCCATCTGGAAGGCTCTGGCTGGCTGACTCCTCAGGGCACCTTCCCCTAGAGCTGTCTGGTCACCTGGGGGAAATGGCTATTAACTCTTAAACAGCTGGCTGTTCTCAGGAAGTGGGGGAGAGGGGGTGCCATGGAGGGATCCCTTGTTGACCAGATGTCCCAAGTGTCACAAACCACAGGGGACCCTGGGATGCCTGTTCTGCCATGTCACTCTTCCAGAGACAGGCCAGAAGCCTTAGCATGTCCTGTGGCCAACCCTCAAAGAATTAGCACCGGGACCCTGAGCTGCAGAGCCCCTCCCCCAAAGATGTTCCCACCGAAATATGACGACCAACAGACCACTCCTGCCTGAAATCATGTTAAGTGCACGTCTTCTTGGAGTGTGTTCTGTGCAGAACCCATCCTGGCAGGCATATAGAAAGGGTCTCTCTGCTGTTCATAAGAAACCCAGAGCATTTGGGGCATGGGTTCCCATATCGCCTGGGATGAACTTGTAGGGGAGCATCAGCAAAAGAGCCCAGGAGGCGGTGTTAGGGGAGAGCAGCTGGCTAGTGTGGAACAATGACCTGGGTGATGAGGGGAAGAAGGGGGCACATCTTCAGAGCAGGTAGCTAGTCTCCAGGATCCAGTGAGTCTGTCATCAACAAGATATCAAGATGACACACTCCGGGAAGAAAACCAAAGAATGACAAGTTTGCTCACGAAGTCACTGGTTATATACATATATAATCAGAGGAATTGTGCTCCATCCACTCCCAGACCTGGGCAAGTAAATGGGCCAAAACCAATCCTGATGGAGTTGGTACCCATCCAGAAATGCCTGTTGTGTATGTACCCAAGGGATTTGCAGGAGAGTGCCATGGAGGGCCACTCTTGGGCAGATAAAGCACCCGGTGGGGGATGGGAGAGAGTGTGAGGCAAAGTGAGCAAGGCACCATCCCCTAAGGGACAGGGTGTGACTTTTACAGAGTGCCAAGGGACCATGGCGGCTAGGAGACAGGCTTATGTGCACAGGCAGGCCAGAAGTTTATGCAGCTGTGAGGAGAGCATGTGGGAGGAAAGTTGGGGAGTGAAGGATGGAGGTGGAGCCCTGTCCTGGGCAAGCAGACAGCTGGCCTGGCTCAGAGGGTCCTCTCAGTGGGTCAGACACCGGGTTGGGGGGGCCTATGGGGTAAAGCCAGTTCACAGATACACCTTCAGTGCAGGGTTGGCTCTGCTTTTTGGAGAAGAAACTGGGAGCCCTGGAGCAGGGTTTGCAAAGAGACTGTGGGCATGGAGATACAGGGGGGCTGATGTGGGAAGGGGTAAAGGAGGGGAGGGGACTGGCCCAGCCTGTACCGAGCAACCCTTCCTCACAGGACTCCAGCCAGCTCTGAAAGGAGTGTCTGCGAAGGCCAGAGGGTGGTGCCAGGGCCACTGAATTTACAGCCAAGACCCAGGAGCAGAGCTGGCCAAGGTCCAGTCCACCCATTGGGTCCTGTAGTGGATAGTCGGTGTCATGCCTCCTTCTCCCTCTTAATCACTGTGCGCCCTGCGAGGACACTCCCTCTGGAATAGCTTTGGGCAAGAAAATGGGGAGTACCACCCTTTAGCCTTACTCTGTGCCAGCTGCCTCCTGGGAACAGGAACATAAATAAAGGCAAGTCAGAGAGGGCCGGCAGGCAGAGGGGCATAGGGAGGCTCCCAAACCACCCACGGAAGGGGTTCTGGGCAGGGCAGACTCTAGACCTGTGATTGCCCATTTCCTTCTAGGCTGGTTCCTTCCTCCTTCTGGCTCTCTATGGTCCCCTCCCTCTTACTCACCCAGCTCTTCTGTTCCCTCCCTCCTGCCCTCCATCAGCTGGTCTCCCCCACCCTCAACCCCTGTCCTGTCCTCTCAGGCCAGGTCAGCCACAGCACTGGCAAGCAGGCTGGATTCACAGGCACAGGGACTCTTGCTGGCCCTCAAGCCACCTCTCCTCACGAGCTAGTGACGCAAGGGCTCCTACCTCAATCACAAGTGTGGCTCCGGACATGTAGAAGCCCCACAATCAAATGAGCTCCTGTCCTTACAGGAAACCCAGGCAGGGCCTGCTTATCACTGTGATGTGGCAACATAGACAGCTTTTGTGTCTGGGCCACACGGGAGCACAGGCAGTGTCCACATGCGCAGACATAAGGAATAAGACACACACCTGAGCTGTTCCCATGGAGAAGCAACAGAGTGTCTGTCAAGGGTCAACTTCCTCCTTCAGTCCTCACGTCAGCGCCACGAGGCAGTTCCTATGCCTTGCCATCGTGCTGATGAGGACACAGGAGCTCCAAGAGGTCTCGAACTTGCTCAAGGTCATGCTGCATGACACAGAACAAAACTGGCCTTGGTCTTCACGGCTCTGGTGCCCAAGGGCTGCCCTGAAGTTCAAGCCCTAAACCTTTGTCTCGGTATATTGTTTGTTCTCTATAGAACTGGGCTTGGCCCATGTGTGCCTCAGTTTCTCCACTTGCTGAACTTGAGGGCAATGCCTCTTACTGACCCCAGATGGTATTATTACACAGAAGGTTGGACTTGGCTGTAGCTCTGGAGAATGCCCTTGTTACGGGGAACCCACCAGCTAGTCCATTTGCACAATAGATAGCAAATCTTTTCAGCTACTCCTTTGGATCCCCAGCTGCTGCCCTTCCCCCCCGCACCCCCTTCCCCCGTCCCCCCCGGTAAGCCCTCATACCGACTTCTCTAGCAACCTTTAGCTTGTCTCTCTGATCCAACCCTATCCACGTGACTGTCCACAGAACCTGATAGGAACGTGAATCTGATCCTGGTGTATCCGTAGCAGAATGTTTGCCTCGTGTATGAGATGATGCTTGCATTGCTCTCTACACTGTGCATCAAGGCCACGAGACACTTTGAAATCCCATCTGCTCTCTCCAAACCGCCTCCCTCCTGCCCCACACTCCTGTCTCGGGCAGGCCCGTCACACTCCCTTTGCTTGGCTTTCATTCCCTGACCTGAAATGCTTCTTCCACCTCAGGTCTCACAGAAATGCCACCACCCCCCCCAACAGGGTTTTCCAGACCACACAGATAACCCAGGAGCTCCCCTTGTTGCCTGTCCTCCGTCCCAGGCCTTTGATCTAAGCACTGACTTACTTTGTGCTATGGGACACTCTGTTGATTGCATTCTTTTACTCTCCCTCCTTTAGAACGGAGGTTCCCTGAGGGCCAGGACCTGATATCTTTCAGGCCTGGCATGTGGCAGGCGCAAGGTTGCTGTGTGTGGCAGCGGCTGTTTGGGAGAACTCCCAGCTTGGGGGGCTCAGCACTAGACCAGGTAAGCTGTGTGCCCCTGAGGTTGTCTGTGCCCTTGGTGATGCTCGGCTTCATCCTCTGTAAACGAGGAGGCCCACGGATGTGATGCTGAGAATGATGCTCCGAGCACAGATGTTCCGCATCCACACTTACTTGTCCTGAGAGAACTAGTAGAAGGGGATGAGAAACGGAAGCATCCTGGCTGCAGTGCTCTGGGTCTGGCTGTGGCAGGGCCAGACTTCCCTTTGTTTAGATGCTTGGCTTTTTGTCCAAGACAATTTGAGAGGACTGAACGATTGAAAGCATTATCACATCCTTGATATAAGACTTGGGGATGGTTTGCAACGCTAGCCTATCCCCACTGCTGACAAGTCACACAAGCTTGGCAACTGAGTCCTCTGGAGATAGATTCAGCATGACAATTGCCTTCCCAGGAGCCATTTGTTCCCAGTGTTCTGGTTTTGAGGGTCTAGACTTATGGTGGAGACAACTGGTATACCCACAGACAGTATGCGTTCCCTTCAACTTCTCAGTGGCGTTAACCTTGCTATCTTAATTATTGTTGCTATTGTTACTATTCTTACTTGGTAGTACTAGAGATCAAACCCAGGGCTGTCTGCATTCTAGACAACTGTTCTACCACCAAGTCACATCCTCTGCCCTAAACATGGTACCTTACTTGTATCTTTACAATATTCTTTGAGAATAGGCCTAAGGGGACCTGCATCCCTTTGCAGATGAGGAAACAAAGGCCCAGATTTAAAAAAAAAAAAAAAAAAAGAATGGCAGAAAAAGGAGACTTTTGATACCAAAAAGGAAACTCCTAGTGAGATTCATATAAAAATTTTAAAATATTAATTTATATGGCACTTTCCCATGTTATGAGACCCAGGAGAGGTCCCCGTAACGGGAGAGGTGTGTATGTGTGGCAGCATGGGTAGTTGCTCCATCCTTCCTCTCTGAAGAGGCCCCACACTGCGTTTCAGCCTCCCCTTGACAACAGCTCACCTTGAACTTGCTAGGTGCACAACAAAGGTTTAACCAGAGTTTGCGGGAAACAGAAGCCCCAGGGATGGGACCATAGGACCATTACGGCCCTTCCCACAAAGATTCATCCAGACGGCCTTAGCAGCCCTTTTCTTGGTAGCTTCTCCAGATTCTACTCTAACAA